TTAAGTTTGCAGGCAGAGCTATAATGGCAGTAATGGTCATTCAACCACCACAGTCCCAGCCAACCCGGGCTCTATAAATTAAGACTAGCACCTTGAATAAGGACATCAATGAAACATGTGTCCAGAGAAGATCTGTAAGCACTGGCTTTTAATACCTGTAAATCCACACCAACCAGCAAACTTGCTTGCTACATTTTGTACTAACTGAATTTTCTGAACTCTACCCTCTTCAGGGACAGACTCACATAGATTGTATTATAGTAATCTAACCCAGAAGTGACAACAGCATGGATTACTGTGATCTAACCATGCTTCTTGAAGAAGGCCTTTACCTTAAAACCTGATCCAGAACTTCACAGTCACAAGATAACAGAACACAGGACTGGGCTTTTATGTTATTCCGATTACTTCAACAAAAACACTCATTATTTAGAACAGATGGGCTTTGGGAGAAATGGGTGAGGAAATCCTGTTCAAACTTAAAACCCTGTTATTGAAGCAAAAAAGATCTCAGGGTGGAAACATAATGTCACATCTCCCAAGACTCAAGGTGACTCACACAGAAAACAAGAAGTTGCAAATTTTTTTTAGATAGCGTTAAAACAAAAAAGAATATCATGGACATGCCTTCCCAACACTACCTTCTCAACAGTTACTTTCTCCTCTGCAAAAAGCTCAGAAATAAAATGCTCTTGCATGCTTTTCATTGCATACTGGTTCTAGAACAGAGTGCCCTTGTTCTGGCTGTTGCAGAACCAACTGCTGAAGGGAGAGCACTGTAAAGAGGTGGTCACCTAAAGAGCACAACTGATGCCTGGAACGTGTCAAAAGATGCAGTCCAAATAGTACATGAAGGCTTTATAGATAAAATAACCAGCACTTCAAAAGGGCCCAGAAACAGCTAATCAGTGCTGCTGCTGAAGCACCAGAGATATTGGGGTAGATCCCACAAACTTTTCTGAGGATGAAAAAGGAAGAGTCTTCTATGACTGAGAATCATGGGACCTGTGCGAACAAAAGCCATGTGAAACAAGGGATGTGAAGGGAGTTGGACAAGACTGAGTGGAAAAGCTGGTTGAATCCACCCCCATATTCTCCAGTAGCTGGTCCCAAACAAGATCCTTCCTACTGTATTTTGTACCAATGACAGCTTTTGTGCCACTTTCAAAAGAAGCCACACCTGGAGCATGACAGTAGTCAAATCTAGGGACAGTGACACAGATCAGCACAGCTAGGTCAGGAAAATCCAAATAAAGACCCAGTTTACAAGAAAGGTGAACTGAAAGAAGGCACTCCCAGTAGGAACGTCAACCCATTTTTTCATTAACAAGACTGCACCCAAGAACAGCCCAAGCTCTTCAGTTGATCTATTAAAAGGCATCGTCAGTGCAAAAGCAGAGAGGATTTGGAAAGTAAAAGAAATTACTAAATCCTAGTCTTAATTCTGAAAATTCTGCAGCCTTGACCTGATTGGTCCATGAGTTATACCACTGGCAGAAGGCTCAAGACTGCAGTTTTCTTATTTAACATTTATCATTTCTGTTCCAGATTTTATTTTACCTTTCTGAGCTGTACTTTATAGCAAATTACTTTGAACATACGGAGTTTTCCTGAGAGTTTCCCTGTCAGAAGAATGAATTAATTTTAGTTAAATTAAAATTTTGGGTTCCAAATTGTTATTTTTTTTAATCCCTTCATGTATTTTTGCTCGATGGTCTAAGTACATTTTTGAATCTGAAGTCCCTTATGGTTACATTATTCTAATAAGTGATTCTGAAGACTAGATTCAAAACATTTGGACATCACTTCGATTTGACAGCAGCACTAGTAAGTCATGGAACCCATATAGAAAGCAGCTTCAAATATTCCCTCATGCTGCAAAATACATCTCAACAGCTTGGTGGTTAGCAACAAATCCTTCCAAGTAAATAGCTCACCATACCCAATGATTTAAAGGTAAAGGTAAAGGTTCATTTGCTCGAAAGCCAGTCGAATCCGACTCTAGGGTTGCGGTGCTCATCTCCGTTTCAAAGCTGAAGAGCCAGCGCTGTCCGAAGACATTTTGGTGGTCATGTGGCCGGCATGACTAAATGCTGAGGCGCACGGAATGCTGTTACCTTCCCACTGAAGTGGTACCTATTTATCTACTTGCAATTTCTTGCTTTCGAACTGCTAGGTTGGCAGGAGCTGGAACTAGAGACGGGAGCTCACTCAGGGAACTCACCCAATGATTTACCCTAGAAAGAAAAACCTGATACTTTCTACTTTTTTTCCAAGGCTTGTTAAGGAATATGCCACACATTATTTAAAAACTGACTCAGCATCCACTCTTTATTACAGTCCACATAACACCCATGTAAATCACAGAAGAGGTAAAATAATCACTGTTTGTGAGTGCAATCAGTCTTTGGCAAACAGGGGACAGAACCCCTAGGGGAAGCATAAGGGACCACTGAGAGACAGATAATTTTGCATGTGCTTATCAGCAATAGACTTGTAAACAAGTCAAGAGTCAAGTATGCAAAAATCATGGGTCATGGGCTACCTACCCAGGATTGCTAAAAGGGAGCAGTAGAGTCATATGTCCCTGCTTGTTGGAAGCCTGGATTCTTCAGCATGGACATGATTATAATAGAGAGTGACTGTAAGAGCCAGTGGGTGAAGTGACAGGAAGGGAACAACAGAGGTGATAGGGGGGGGGGGACAGCACAGAAGAGACAGCTTGTCAGTATGTGCACATGGGTACACAAGACCTTGGAGGGTATATACAGTGAGGTTTTTAAGGTGAGAAGGGATGCACAACTTTAGCGGGCATACTTTCCACAAAGTGCATACTATCTTCTACTTCTGCATGTCCTTCCATCCCCCCATGGGGGGGGGGAGTACATATCTCTTTACCAACCAGAGATATTTAGAACTATCATAAACATCCAAACTAAGAAATATAATCCAACAACCCCTATGTGTATTTATCATACTATGTCTGAAAACTAAAATTTTAAAAGGAGAGCTTGTTCTTTTGTCATCTTATTGGGGCACTCATGTGGAATCTTGTAACTATTCCCCAACCACGGATTTCTTCAGGTATAGCTCTGAAGATTTCATTCACACTGAAGAAATTCAACTGAGATGAACTCTAAGCAAACAGGAGAGAAAAGCAGCCTACTTCACACATAATTATCTTCAAAAATATCAGGGAACACAGGAACATCACAGAAGCATTTTTATGGTTCACATAAGTGTTTCCAATTGCTCCCAAGTGTGAAGTCTCCATTCATGGATCATTGGGGTGACAACAATAATAATTAGGAGCTCATTAGTTCAAAAGAAAACAAAAAACCCACAAACTAAAAAAATGCACCTTCCCATCTTAACTTCAAAGTCAAACAAAAGTGTACACATTGGGGAGACAGTCAGATACTAATTTTAGTTGTACTTCTGAAAAGAATATATTAAATAGGCTTCCAACATTAATATAAAAATGGTATCTAGACAAGTTTTTCTTGTCAGTCTCAAGCCTCAGGCGTTGGTCAAAGCACTTTTCAAACTTGACAAGGAATGCTCATGGACCACTTTAGAAGTGAACAAAAGAAAAGATCTAAGGCTGCTTTGAACACACTTTGGTGCTGCATACTTTCTAAGAAATCCTCCAGCATAACTAGTCCAGAAGCACAGGCATAACTCAGGAGAAATACTTATTTAATGAAGCACTACCTTCACCTCTGTCAAGCCAACATCTGTTACATGATACACTTAACTTTGAATTTGCTTTAAAACGCTCATAACCGATAGGATCTTTTTGTTTGGTACGTCTGATGAATTACAGATGGACATAAAATCTGTCTCTAATTCTGTCCTTCTGCTAAATCATTTCCCCCCCACTGTAACAATGCAACTCTCTAGAGGAGGAGATAAAAAAAATACAACAATGAGAATAATAGGGCAATTAGGTTCACAAAGAGAAAGTGTGCCTAAATTTGCATAACAATAAAGTAACTCACACAGCACAAGCTGCCCCACCTCCTAACATGTAGCTGTTATAGCACTAAAGGAATTGGAAGACTGGCTTTACATGCATTGTCCAGACCTCAGGAGTTACTGGCTGGAACTAAAGGAAGCTGAAGGAAAGGAACTAAAGGACACAGAAAAGAATAAAAACAATGGTGCAAATGTCAAATACTAAGTAAAAGGCAAAGCTCCGGTTCTGCCCCCCACCCAATACTTGGTTCCCTGAAATATTCAGCAAACCTCTCTGGCTAAAATTATTTATGCAAATTAATTCAACCTTAAATTCTACAAACTTCTCAATCTCCCAAACTGATTTTTATTTCAATTAAACTTATGTAAAACACAATCGACACAATCACATTAAGATGCAAGCACTGAAAGCAGTTAGTATGTCTCACTGCCTTAAAAACACTGTAGTAAAAGTAGTTAATCAAACCCTCTTGTCTGTTGTAAATTGCTGGTAATATGATGTAGATGGAACGTTTCAGAACTTCACGCTTTCTATAATTATGTCTGAAACAAATGGAGGACTCGGAAACTCTCCCAGAGGGCCTTGTAAGTTGCACGACATAGCCTGGAGAAGTGAGGAGCACCACGCATTTCCTTGTAAACTTCATTTTAAAGAAATAAATGAGAATCCAAATTCGCATCGTGACTGTATCATGCCGCATCTTTACACTGTACGCATTTGCTCCCGTTGGTTTCCCTCCCCATTTTGGATTGCAAACGATCGCTTTCTAAAACGCGTTCGAGACTCTTCCGGGAGTTTTGCAGACAACATAGGCCTCAACTTTCTGTTTGTAACCCACGCCCTGGTGCTGAGACTCGCACACGCTCGAAAAGAAACAGGCAACAGCAAACGCATTTCGCAGAGAGCCATATTTGAAAGTTTTAGACCCCCATCGGTGAGCAACTCCAAGCCCTTTTTGCCAAGATTAGTCCCATCGCCTTCTCCCACTTTTCCCCAAAGCCAGCGCTGCAGACCCTTTTACCTTTTGCGAAGTGACACCAGCGAGAGGATCTAGGCGTACACGAGGTGGGTTTGACGCCAGATGTGCGAACGGGGTTCTTGCATGGCCAAACTAGGCCCGTCTTTCCCCCGCTTCTCCTTTCACTCCGTCATCATGTCATCCTGATCAAACATGTCTGTTAGGCGAGTGAGCCAGTCTCATTTGGCTGCGGTGACTTCCTGATTCTCTCCGCTGCTGATCACACCGAGGGGGAGGGGTAACAAAAAATCCACCCCAGCCAGCGCGAAACCTCGCCTCTTCCTCTCTCCCCGCAGCCAGCTCCGGCACGGAGAGGCTGGCTCCAGCTGTCCTCCTTCTCCACCTCCTCCAGTCTCACTCAGACGCTCGGCGACCAGTAGCAAACGGCAACATTCGCGCTGAATCCTCCCCCTTCTCCCTGCACGCTTAATCATCAACCAAAAAAACTTTTTCCCCCCTTTCCCGGCGGACATCATCATCAACAACAAAAATCATGGCGAGTGACCATGCGCCCTGCTGCTCCAAAACGGGCGACGCTGCGAAGCCCAAATTCTTCTTCTTCTTTTTAACCCGCAAACACCTTTAGAGATAAATCACAGTCGGTGGCGATTGCTCTCTGCCGGAAATAAAATCTGTGCGACGGTAATTAAAAAAAAAAAAGTTGTGCATTCCTTCTGCAAAGATGGGGGAGAGACAAGGGAACGCCAGGCTATTTTAGGACACGCACCGGCGACACCTTGGCAGCAGGAGAGCAGAAACCCATCACCGCGCCGACCCCCACGGGCTTTTTAAAAGGCTCCCCCCGGAAGGCAACAAGAGCAGCAATCTCTGACTGATCCAAGCCCCGGCCTCCCCCTCTGCCCTCCCCTCTCGGGTGTGTGTGATGTTTGTGACAGACTGACAGAGAGATTATCCGGATCATGGCCTCCCTGGCTTTTGCTGCTTCTCTCCCCCCCCCCTTCATTCACCCCTTGTTTTCAATGCAAAGCAGCCGGGGATGGAGGCGTGGGGGGGGGGAGGGGGAGCGCCCAGCTCCTTCCCCGGGCAAAAGACTCCTGCTGTCAATGTTTGCCTGCCTGCCTGCCTGCCTGCCTTCCTCAGGGCAGGACGCTGTGTGAAGTTCAGCCGGGGCTCGCTCGTTCGTGCAGCCCACATGCATCGATTTGCAAAGAGAGCCCCTCCCGCAGTTGCTTCCAGATCCGAGGAGGAAAGGGAGCAAGCAGGGCATCATCTTCCTCCCCGCACCACTCCTTATTTATAGCCCCCAAAATACAGCTCAGTCAATCAACGCCGAGAGAGTACAAGAGGAGACAACCCCCAACCTGCCAGTCCATCGTCGCCGATCAGCTTCTCCTGGCGGGCTTAGAGCTTTTTGGGATCTATTTCTCTCTCTCCCTCGCCTGGTTGCCCGAAGTCTTTTTTATTTATTTTTTTAAACGAGCAAAACACTCCGAGCGGCTGCTTATTTACCGTTGCCTGGCTTCTTCCCACCGCCTCCCAAATCTCTCTTGCAGTGTTGCAGCCTTCTCCTTCTCGACCTTCTCCCCCAGGTTCAGCTGACTCACAAAGTCAGCGGCTGGGCTTCTCGATTAGGACCTGTCTCGGATCCAGCATTCCTCCCACCGCCCCCGAAGAATGATTATTTCGAACCGAAACTTTCTGCTAATTTCGAGAGGTCTGGGAAAGACAGATTCAATACCACGGCAGGGACTGAGAGAAGCAGTTTACGGATGGGTTGGGTGAAAGGAGGCGGCTTGGGGTATTTCTCTTTGCAGAAGGCGGGAGTGCATGGTCAAATGCTAACTAAATTATTTCCTTTCCCCTCCGCAAAAACACGCACGCACACAAAAACAAACCCCACACATGCCGAGTAACGAGGAAGGTGAAGCAAGACAGGAGGGAAAGATGGATGATTCAGAGAGAGAAGGCGAAAGGAGTTGTAAGTAATATTTACCTTGCCTGGGAAGAGTGTCGTGCTGGATCTCTCCCTCTCTATGAGTCACCCCAAGTACAGACCCAGAGAGAGGAACTAGATTATGAATATGACTTCATTGATGACAGCCATTCCCTCCTCTTCCTAAACTCCTGTCCCGCCTCCTGGCTCGGCCCACTTGGCTATGCCCCCTCCCCCATCCTAACGCCACCGGCCTGGAAGAAAGCTTGCCATTGGCTGAACCGAAAAGAGACGCCTCCACCCGCCCTGAATGCTAAGGCCAGCGGCGGATTGGCTACCCTGGACTGTCATTCACGCTACAGCCGTGTGTAGGCGGGGCTGTAGCTGGTGTTCAAGAATGTGGAGACAGGCAGACTGTACTCTGTTGTATGTATGTGTGTGTCGGCGTGCGCGGACATGCTTATTTTGTGTGCATGTTTAACGTGTGTAGAGGAGTACAGGACGGGAGAGATTTCCCTCCCTAGACCCACGCCCTTCGGCTGTATTCCTGCGTGTTATCTGGATAGCTAGGGAGTGATTGAAGGCTCTCATCTGTTGGGAAAGAGATGGAGAGGCTGTCTGGAGATCATAATAGTGGTTGGGGGAGGGGGCAGGTGAAGAAGGTGCTGGAATTTTAACGGTGCCTGCCGGTGCGAGGCTAGAGGGAGGTGTGGGCGGCGGGCAGGAGCCTGCTGACCTGAGCAGAATGCTAGTTGTTTATGTTTGCCCGTAAGGCGAGGGGGGGGGAGGCATCGAAGGTCATTGTTATGCATACTAAAAACTTCTCAGCCCTTTCTTGGTCCCTGAACCTGAAGCTTCCCTTTGTGACAAGAGGCAGGGGATGCAGAGAGAACATTCCAGCTCAATCTGTCTGTCAGTCAGCTGCCCTTTCAAGTTCCAAGTGCCCATTAGTGAAGACCTGGCACCAGGAGCAAGAGACTGTTATTTACTAAACATTCCCTCAGAAAAAAAGGTGGGGGGGGGCCGATGGTCACTGATGTGGAGGCAGCTCTGAAAGCAATCACAGGAATGTAATCTGTATGCTAAAAAGCCTGCTAGAGTGTAAGGAGCGAAGTTGAGGGTAAATCCGGTGCTTACAGCTAGCAAAAGTAAGTGAAGTGATTTTGTGCATCGCTTTCCTCATTGCTCCTTTTAAAAACTTATAATATTCTGAATTTTATTTCCCCTCACAGATTAACCGGGTTTCCCCACTCAATGCCATTTATCCGAACCTGGAGATTTCCTCTTGTAACAGAAGGGTGGGGGTGGGAATATGATCATTTGTTATAATGGAAGTCTACAAAACTATTGCAGAATTCAGCAGGAAATTCCAGCCTTAATTCAGTATCAGTAAGGAGGGTTCTACAAGACTTTTAAAATGAACAGACCTATTAGTGTCGATCTTGAGTAATGTAATGACTCATAAAATTTCAGCACTGTCGATCACCTCCCAAAGCCTAGTATTCAGAATTTTCCCCTCTGGCTAAAATATGTATGCCATGACTATCTTAACTGAGTGATCCTTCAGTTTGTTGTGGGGGGGCGACTGTGTACCAGTGCTGCACAGTGCTGCACAGATTTTTTTTGAAAGGGTGGCACTAAAATGCGATTTGTTGCGCATCTTGGTTATCTTATGTAAATTATTGTAGCACCGTTTTTAATATGTTATGTAACATTGTTTAATTGTCTTGAAAATTTTTAAACCCTATTTGTTAGCCGCCCTGAGACACTATGTGTAGGGCGGGATACAAGTTGCAAAATAAATAAATAAATAAAAATTTAAAAAACAATAGTCTGCAGAGGGAAGGAACTAAAGAACTGTAGTGGTCTCACATCAGTGCCCCATCATATAAAACTCAGGATAGTATACATTATCATTGCTAGGCTGCACCCTCACTTCTGGGTAATAGGGTGGGGAAACACTTCTGCTCTAATAACAGCCACCATCACTGAAGGTAATTTGCAAGCATTGATAGATTTTATGCAAGATAAAAATACTGGCGATGTGGTTGGTGGTAATGCAGCAATGGGCCTCCCCAAGCTAAGTATACCAGCAGTGCAGGAAGTGTGAACACTGGATGCAAAAAAATCAAGTGATGCCTCCTACACCTTTCCAATGTACAGCTGCTGCGGCGACAAAGCACAAGATTAAAATTATAGGGTTTTCTGTTGGCCATGCAAAACTGTAAGGGTATGTACAAATCTCAAAGCTTGACTTTAGTTACCTTTAGTTACCTTTCAAGTTACTGCAACATAGGTGCAAAGCTGAGAACCAGGAAGCCAGGGTTCATATCATGCCTCTCAGGAGTGCCTGAAGACTTCCCTGCCACATGGATCTTCAGCATCCTCATTCCAAATTACACCCATTGCTCCCTATTCCAACATGAGTCAGCTTCCATTTGACCCATTTGACCCTCTCCTCAGCATCAAGATGGCCTTGACTCAAGTTGATCGAAGGTGCAAGCTAGACGCCTCATCTTTATTCTACTCTTATGATGACAATGTGAATATAAAAAACAGTAGTTAATCAAGTGTTTCTCTTAAAACAATACAGGTCCTTTTAAAAAATTGAGAACAAAAGGAGAACATAGTAGTCCTTATATTAACAACACTGGAGATTCATTTTATTTCATGGACCAGGTAAAGAGTTAATGAGAGCCAAACTGGACAACCCTACACTGCAGTCTTTTCAAAAAGCATTTTCTTCTGGTTGAAGAAACGATCTCTTCAGCAGCCAAATTCTGGTATCCAAAAACAAAACCCATATCATACCTTTTTATTAGGACCGATTTAAATGACACAAAACACTGTGCGATAGGGCTGCCAAGTGGGGGCGGGGGGCAGGGAAACCCCCACTTTGGAGGCCCAATTTCCGCTGCCGCGGAATCGGGCCCTGGGGGGAACTCCGCCCCCCGAAGCGCAGCGTGGCTGCGTCACCAGAGGTGATGCAGCCACGTTACTCACGTTGGGGGCGTGGCCCACATCGTCAAAGGGAAAACTCTATGGTTTTCCCTCTGAGGATGTGGGCCATGCCCTCAACGTGAGCGACGTAGCATGTCACTTCCTGTGACGTGCTGGCGGTGAGCGTGCGCACCACCGAGGAGTTCCCGGAGCCCAGTGAGGCTCCCCCGCTGCCAAGGTAAGACTTGGCAACCCTACTGTGCGAGCTTTCGAGTTCTTCATAACTCTTCACCAGGCTGGATGTTTTTAAGTCAGTCGTTGTTACCAGAAGGCCAACGATGCTAAGTGCACCCTAAGTCTGCAAGACCTTCTAAACAAGGGCAGACACACATTGTAGTTGGATTGTTGCCGCCTCGACCATAGGCCTGGTGGAACATCTCCGTTTTACAGGC